GCGGCTAACGTGAGGCAGCGACCGAGCTGTTTGGGATATCCTCAGAGACTTAACGCGAGAATTCTCTCGATTTTCGTTCTTGGAAAAAAAAAAAAAAAAAAAAACAGGACGCATTCTTTCCTGGTGGCTAATTCTATGCTCATGAAACTATGGATCAAGAGGTCAGGTCAGTGCGCTCCAGATACTGGTGCCGACTTCCATTCTTTACTCAGGGGATGCTGAATGGGACTTGAGTCCGGTGTGGATTGTCTTCTTTTCTTTTCTTTTCCTTTTCAATGAAAGGGAATACCATGTCAATCAGGATTTGAACTCATGAACTGGGTTCACTGACAGTTACACGTGTGCACCATTCCACCATAGAGCGGTATACAGTCTTGTAAGGTGCGCTAATACGCAAAAGAGCTTGCAAAAAGAAAAGAAAAAAAGGGACATTTAAAAAACAGAGGCTGCTGGAAAAAAAAAGAGGCTGCTGTGAGCTGACCATTTCTCCTTTTTATTTTTTTCCCCCCTTTACCACAACACACACAGCCCATTCTATTCTGGGGGGAACCAGTCCGGTTACTTGTCCCGGACAAGCGTAGCAACAATGATACAAAACAGGTGAGCACAGGTGGGCAACAACCATTGCCAGGGGGATGGTAGGCTTTGACAGCTGCCACACCCTTATTATCATACATGCGGCACATCACGTGCGCACGAGTTGCGCACGTGCGGCGCATTGCGCGCACACGTGCTGTGGTGCAAGTGCGAAAAGAAAAATAAAGAAAAATTGAAAAGGGCAGGAAGTGGGAGCTAAACGAAGCCCTCCCTTCTGAAAATTGCAAGTGCACAGAAAGAAAGAATTTGGGGCCTTGTCATACTCATTGGATCCAGTCTCTTTTCCAAAGGTCCCCCAGAGGAGATCTAGCAAGTGCCCCATATCTTTGGAGAGACGTTCATCAAAATGCAGCTAGGATTTGAGCAGGCCATCAATGTATAGTCTGGAGTCGAATTCAGGTCTGTGTTCCAGGAGTTATGGGTTACTAACTCGCTACCAATACTACGGCAGCTCTCTCTTTTTTTTTGTTTTTCCTTTTCTTACGTGCAGTGGCCCTAAGGGCCACCTTCCACCAGTCAGGACTTGCACAAAAGACGAAACATATGGCGACGTATGGTTTCATGTTCTAGCAGAAGATTCATGCACATTTGGTGAGTAGTGGAGTGGAGCCCTGAAAATTAAATGCTGAGTTAGTATGTTAGTAACCCAACTGCTGAAACATGGACCTGAATTCGAAGCTACAGCATATATAGTTGGGGCTGTTGCTACCAACTTATGAGTTCTACGTCTACCTCTTTCCTTGCTAATTAAGGGGAGGGGGCTTTTGGAGTATAGACAGGGGTATTCTTAATAATGTGAAAGAAGTTAAAGAACTCTTGGCTTGTATTCTCTCTCTCTCTCTCTCTCTCTCTCTCTCTCTCTCTCTCTCTCTCTCTCTCTCTCTCTCTCTCTCTCTCGCGCGCGCGCGCGCGTTTGTGTATACACATTGGTCAGATACATTTACTAAAGTGCAACTGTGAGTACACCCTTAGTTTAGTTTAGAGAATTTTAGACCATTACTACCCAATGTACCCATTAGTTTTTTTTGTTTTTTTTTCCGTACACATTAATTTAATTTAGACTAAGGGCCCAAATGCCGATTCAGGCCTAGTAGGTCGTTAGAAGTCCGGCAGTTTCAGTACCTTGCAAGAAAAGTCCAGATCCCGGTCTAAATTTAGCAGCAGCATCCTGGGAAAGTCCGGTGAGTTCTGGAGCTGGCAAACGTACAGCCGACAGGCCCTGGGAGACGGTTACTGGTCTGGAGTCGACGAAGATACCAATTCAGCCGCTACTTAAGCAGCTGCAGTACGCTGGGCGACTCAACTTAGTTGTCAATTTGCATGTTGCGGAAGTCTTGTGCGACAGTTCGAGGGGACTGGTCGGGCGGCTGTTGAAGTAGCCGGCGCTAGGGCACCATAGCTAGGACTAGTGAGGAGGAGGACGGCACCATAGCTTGAGAGTTGAGTTCATTCAGAGAATGAGGGTGATCCATGTAAAGACAGACGAGAAAGGCACTGAAGCGGAGAGAGAGAATGAGCGAGTACTTACCTGAGTGCGAGAGAGAGGTTCAAAGACTTGCAACAATTTTGTATTTCGGGAACAATATCTTCGAGCTTTGCCTGATGTCTATCTCGTTGTTTTTCTTTGCCTGATGTCTATCTCGTTGTTTTTCTCTCGAGTGTTGTGTGTGAACTTCGGGTGACTTGCATGATTGGGATGGGAGTCTGAATTGAGTCGGATCGTTGCAATATGCTTCGGCTTCTTCTGTGTCCTTCTGCCGTTGGCTGCGCCAAGTTTCTTGTTTAACAATTTTCAACGTTTTTTGTGCGGTTTCTGGTGCAGGGAGTATTGCTAAAAAGCAACCCTTCAACATGCCTGGAACTATTCGAGTATCAGGTATTGAACTTAGGTCCCTACAAACCTTCGGGTGGGTGGGATGCACAGTTCTGAAAAAAATGAGTTAAAAAAAAAAAAAAGAAGTAAACCACCTGGTCTCGTTTCTAGACCTGCCCAAATAATCTAATAGGTCATGGGTATGGTCATTACATTGTGAATTCTTTCGGTAGAAACACATAATCGCATTGTGAATTCTTTCGGTAGAAACACATAATCGCATCCAAATCGAGGGTGATGGAATTAGACTGTTTTCCCACTTTCTCGTTGGGTGTGTGCGTGTGTGTGTGTGTGGGGGGGGTTGTTTCCATGGAATCAACTAACTCAGTTTCATATCATCCACAATTATGATGGAACACTTCCAGAATCCTCCGCAATCCCCCTTCAACCCACTCCAAACCACCTTAAAATTGCCTTCACACTAAACGTCTCAAGCAGGCGGTGGGCGTATACGTACGCCGCCAACCAAATGCAACCATGCCAGCTCTTAGTCGTGTCCGTCTCGTTGCGGACATCTGCAATGTAAGTTCAGAGAGCACGCATACCATGTGTACCGATGAGAACCCTTTTCTTTTTTCTTTTAAAAAATCATACCTTCATTGCTCGCAAGGGCCTTTTTCTGCTTCGGGCGAACTGGCAGCTTAAGGAAAATGGTAAATGGAGACAGAGGGATTTGGCGACAACGAAAATTCTGGCTGGTCCTTCAATTGCCCTCAAATTACTGAAGTACCAGGGCTGGTCCGGCAACCTGCCAGTTGAGGCAAGCCGGTCTGGTTTACGGGGTTCAACCGGAAAACCAGCTGACCACAAAATTTGCCCCAAAATTTTGGGTTCTTTTCCCGACATTGGGATTGGACAGTGTTCGCTGAGCGCTGTCCACAGCAAAACTTCAAAGGTCTGATATTCTTTCGGGGGGTGTCCCAGGGTGGGAGCGGGGGTGTGGGGTTCAGGCAGATTGTTTTTTTTTGGGAGAGGGGGGGGGGAACGAAAAGAGGAGGAAAATGGAAAACAAGAGGAGAGGAGGAGGAGGAAGAAGAAGAAGAAGAGATAAAAAAAAAAGACTTATAGCTATGGCTACTGGGGGGGAGGAAGAGGAGAATAAGTTCCCAAAAAAATAAATAAATCTGACAGCTATGGCTGCCTATGCGAGGAGGAAGGAGGAGAAGAAGTAAAAAAAAAGAAGTAATGGCTATGTCTGGCTATTGGAAGGGGGGAGGAGGACGGGAAGGAGGAGGAGGAGGAGGAGAATAACAAGAAGAAGCAGAAGAAAGACTGATGGGGGAAGAAAAATGGGGGACGGGGTAGGTTGGTGGGGGAAGAACAATTGGGGACGGGGTCGGTGGGGGAAGAACGGTGGTCGATGGGGGATGAACAAAGGGTGATGTGGGAGTCCAATGAGAGAGGGTGGAGGTGGATGGGTGGAGGGTGGAATAGGCTGGGAAGAGTGGCCGGCAGATTGGCAAGTATGGGGAGGATGTCGAAGGGTGTGATTTGGGGGTGGACGGCGAGTTTCCAGGGGGAAAAAAAAAGTACGAATATATAAAAACAAGAGGAGAGGGGGAGAAAGGTGAAAAAGAGGACAAGAAGAAGAAGAAGAAGAAGAAGAAGAAGAAAAGAAGAAAGAGTGAGGTTCTTAGAGGCTCTGTAGGCCTTAGAGGTGCCACCTTTCGCAGGTCAGTACCTGGTGCCGAGAGAGAGAGAGAGAGAGAGAGAGAGAGAGAGAGAGAGAGAGAGAGAGAGAGAGAGAGAGAGAGAGAGAGAGAGAGAGAGAGAGAGAGANCATTTTGCAGGTTAGGAGACTATGGTTTATTCTCATTTTGCAGGTTAGGAGACTATGATTTATTCTCATTTTGCAGGTTAGGAGACTATGATTTACTCTCATTTTGCAGGTTAGGAGACTGTAGTGAAGCCCTTGTGTGCAGTGTGCTGGGTGGCTTTGTGTATAGCGATGTGTCTGACTGCAACTATGTCCAGAGTGAAGCAATGTAGTGAGGCTTTGTGTATAGCGATGTGTCTGACTGCAACTATGTCCAGAGTGAAGCAATGTAGTGAGGCCATTTGTGCGCAGTGTGCTGTGTGGCTTCGGGTATAGCAAAGTATCTGACTGCAACTACGTCTAGAGTGAAGCCCTTGCTTGGAAAGCAGTGGACCGGTTCTGGGCCTTGCAAAAGGCCAAAATTGTGGCCGTGTACCTTAACATGCTCTAGTGTAAGATTCATTCGAATTTTGCACGTTAGAAGTCTACTTAGCAAGGCCTTTTGCGTGCTGTGTGTCCTGTAGCGGTAGGTATGTCCATGTATCTGACCGCAATTATGCCCGGAGCGATGCCCGTAGTGGCTGGTGTCTCTGTTTTGTCGTACCTGGAAGGTGTTGGTGCAATTTTGGCGCCCACGCACTTCCAAGGTGAGTGTGTCATGAAGTTTGTTTGTTTGTTTGTTTGTTTGAAACAAAAAACACAAAGGCCCCTTCTATTCTGGGGGGCGTCAAAGATGTCTTCTTCCGTGGTTGGTTTGAATCTCTTTGGCCTGTTAGCTGTCCCTTCCTCCAAAGAAACCTCCATACTGCTTGGCCGGTTAAATTAGAGGGACATATTTTTCTCAGGTAGAGGTTTGCTGTTTCCTCTTCTCATCCATCCTTGCCCTTGTCACATGTCCTTCAAGATTAAAAAGAAAACACACACCCACACCCACGCACCCATGCACCCACCCACCTGTCTCTTATACACATCTAGATGTGTATAAGAGACAGGCGCAGGGAGAGAAGAGAGACTGTGGGGGAGGCCAGGGGACTTACCTGAGACTTACCTGCGACGCCATCGCTCCAACTTCATTTTCAGCACATCCGTACCTGCATCAAGGCGCCACCTTTCGCAGGTAAGTACCTGGTGCCGAGAGAGAGAGAGAGAGAGAGAGAGAGAGAGAGAGAGAGAGAGAGAGAGAGAGAGAGAGAGAGAGAGAGAGAGAGATTGGCGACATTTGGATTCAGACTCGACATTGGGCAGAGATGTTGTGGGGGACTATTTGGGATTGAAATCAGCGACATTTGGGTTGACGACATTATCATCTCCTTCCCCCTCTTCTTCGTGTCTTCCCCGTCCTCCTCATCTGTGTATGAGCTGTGCCTGGCGCCTTCGTCCTTTTGTGTGGCGCCAGGCCATTCACACCGTGTGATGATGGTGATTTATGTCCAGTCTGCATTTTGACATTGATTGGGGCCTGATCACTGGTATTTTTGTCTTCCGCTGTGCTATCTTGCTCTATCTGTGAGAGGTTGGTTCTTGGTTCTGGTGTGTACCATCTTGGTATGCGACAGACAAGCAATGGCCAAGTTGTTTGCGGAACATGCACGCCAGAAGTATTACAATAGACATACATGTCATATCTCCCTTGCTCGATAGCGCACATGCATCCCCAATGTGGTGTCTCAATGTGGCATACTCAGTTCCAACCAGGTAGGCTAGGGGCTAGCAGAGGATAGGGTCTGTGTCGTTTTGGCCCACATTGGGGCCCGTATGGGTGTGTAGGCCAGGATAGGCCTGACTAGGACTGACACTGTTTCGGGTCCGATAGGCCGTAGGTCCGTTTTGGACCAGTATCAGTTAGAGGCCCTGTAGGCCTCGTTTAGGATACAGGCCGTGGCGTGCGTTTTAGCGCCAAACCCTGGAGGTTCAGAGGCCGCGCCGTTTCAGTTAGGAGTTTGGCCGTTGAGGCCCTCCCTCAGTTTGGGCGCCAGACTTTCGGACAGCAGCTGAGGCCGACCCAGTGCTATATATAGCTGGGTCCAGCCTCAGTCCAGGGCATTGAGTAGACGCATTGAGTGAGGCACTCTTCAGACGACATGAGCGTAGTAGTTGTCGACGATAGGAGTAGTCGTCTCCCAGCACTGGGCGCTGCTTGGATCTAGGGTAGCGCTGGGAGGAGAGAGGAGCAGTGGTGGAGGCCAGGGGACTTACCTGGGGACTTACCTGTGACGCCATCGCTCCAGCTTCGTCTTCAGCACGTCCGTACCTGCATCAAGGCGCCACCTTTCGCAGGTCAGTACCTGGTATAGAGAGGGAGAGAGATCTACTTCTTCTCCTTCTTCCTCCAGTCCACCATCTCCTTCTCACCCTCCAGATCTCTGACTTCTCAGTATCACCGGAGAGAGAGAGAGAGAGAGAGAGAGAGAGAGAGAGAGAGAGAGAGAGAGAGAGAGAGAGAGAGAGAGAGAGAGAGAGAGAGAGATTTGGGACTTTGGGATTTGGCGACATTTTGGATTCAGACTTGACATTTGGACAGAGACATGTTGGGGGACTATTTGGGGGATCGATCTTGACGATATTTGAGTTGACAACATTCTCATCTCCTCCCCCCTCTGCTTCGTGTCTTCTCCCTCCTCCTCATCCGTGTATGCTCGGTGCCTGGTGCTTTCGTCCATTGTATGCGGCGCCTGGCCACTCACACCATGTGATGATGATAATCTATGTCTCGTCTGCATTTCGACGTTGATTGGGTCTGATGATTGGTATTTCAGTCTTCCGCTGTGCTATCTTGCTCTATCTGAGAGAGGTCGGTTCTTGGTTCTGGTCTGCACCATATTGGTATGCGACAGTTTGGTATCGGAGCAGACCTCTCGAAAGAGGATCTGCCCAACCAAGGAACCAACGTGATTGATTGATTGATTGATTGATTGATTAAGTAGGTAAACTTCATCAAATTCCTGAAAATTTTCTCTGCTGAAGTTGCTATCTCGATTAGCGCAAATTAGCGCTAACCCCAGATTTCGGTAATCACTAATGAGCGCTAATCCGCAATTAGCAATCGCTTATTAACCCTAATCACGATTAGCGACTAATGAACGGATTTTTTTTTTTTTTTTTTTTTTGAAAAACAGCTCCGTCTATTGGTGGGGAGCAACACCTGATGGAAACCGGGTCCAACGTCCCATAGATACAAACATTATCTCACAAATTGGCACGAACTGGGAACCGGGCCCAGCATTCCATAACGAATGCCTTCAAAGGATTCATCACTAAAAACCTACTAGAAATACAATTGGCCTAAGAATAGTATTTGAAAATTAAGATACCGGGGCCATTACCCGGCTTACAACAATCTTCATGATTTAGAACAGATTTCAGGAACGACTCAGGAGAATCCCCCATCACACCACTTTACCTCACTCCGGCAAGATTGACTGCAGCAGAGCCACCATCTCTGCTGCTGCTGTACCATACTCCCATCCTACCAGCTAGCCCCCTCACTGGCAGGACGCGTGATAACCCACCCTCTGCTCCTACTCACCTTATTCGCTATTTGAGGTTCCTTAGAGCTTTCTTTTTTCAGAAAAAGGTCAGACCCCCCAAACAATCCCCTGCTCCCCACTCCAGCAAGACTTACTGCAGCAGAGCCACCATCTCTGCTGCTGCTGTGCTCTATTCCCATCCTCCCAGCTAGCCCACTCACTAGTAGGACGCGTGATACCCCACTCACTACTAAGGGTTTGATCCCACACTACTTACGGTAAGTAAAAAGTGGTGTTTTGCCGGATCCCACATGATTCCGCAGACGAAGGCCGCTGCACAAGCTTCCGAGGTAAGTAGGAACGTTTGAAGTCGTGGTGGGCAGGGAATGATCATCGCCGGAAAAGCTTGAGGGAATTTGGAAGAGAACTGGGCCCGTACCCTGCAGTGTTTTTTTTTTGTGCATTTTGTTGTGTCCGTTTCGTTGGGCTAGTTTGTCCGTGTACGACGGGGGGCGGGGGCGGCAGTGTCCGTTCAAGTGGATCATTTTCGTGTCCGTAAAAGAACCCGCCCAACCAAAAGTGCCGAAACCCACGTGAAACCTACGGAGGATACGGGAAGGTGGGGTCCCCGTTTTCTTTTACGGGTCGCCCGGAGCGGGCCCAGCTTTTTCGTTACTTTTACGGATTCTTGTTCCGTAGTAGTGTGGGATCAGACCCTAATTTTGAAAGCTCGAAACTTTTGGAATTCCGCAAAAACCGGAATTCCACGATTTTTGGAGTCCCGAAATTTCGTAATTCCACAAATTCGCGACTTCCGCGATTTCCGGAATTCTGCAAATCCGCGACTTCCTCGAAACCCGGAATTCCGAAATTATCAGAACATCTGCAATATTCAACATACGAAATTGGCAACTTAGGGTTAGCACAGTTTTCCTTTTTTTTTGGGTAGAAATTGCCGTAGAATCGCGTCAGAATTGGACTTGTCGCAAAATACTTCTTTCTGTAAATCAAGAATTGTTTTTTCGTAACTTATTTTCGTTTTTGAAATTATCTTGCGATTCCCTTTCCTTGTATCTCCGAATTACTTTGCGATTTTCTTCCATCCAGACCATTTTTTTTTCCTTCAGAAATTCGTAATTCTGTGCTTAATCAGGTTTCGAATGATTTCTAATAATTATGCAAGGAAGATGAGCGATAGTGAACTTCAGAAATCAAACAGCATCATACACATGAGACCAGATAGTCGTGACCTCAAACCAATAGCAGAATTGCATCACGAGTTTCACCAAATAAGAACACAGCAAGAGCTCATAATTGACAATGCTGGAATAATCTCATCATCATCAATGAAGAACCAATGTCGATATCCTATCTGGCGCTCGGCGCCCAGACTTCAAATGGCAGATCCTATCTAGCCTAGACTACAATGCCGCTGATGACGTCAACAGCTCCCCGAAGTACGAGCAGATCTCGGACGATGCCGCACGCTTCAAGCACCAGGTATGTCTTCGTATCACTCACAACCTCGTTCCTCAACTCACAGATGCCGCATGCACCCAAGGACCACCATGCGCCCCATCCAGCATACAGCAGCGCAGCTCGGCTATGGCTGCCTGCTCCTTCCAGCTCGCCCGTGAGCGCGTGAGCCTGACAGGCGATAGCGCAGCAGCGCTGCGCGCAAAGCAGCCAGTGCCCGAATGCCCATTGCGGAGGCAGGCTTCCCTTTATCGAAGTGGCCTGCTGCTGCGTGCAGTAGTGAGGTACTGGGCCCTGGCCCAGAAGCTTCCGGTAGGCCCCACGAGGCTGAGTCTCAGTCCGAAGTAAACAGGCCATGGGCCTGTGGCGGTTACCAGCACCCAACAGCCCTCAGGCTTTGTTCAGTCCACTTTGTGTATCCGGCCCACGGCCTGCCTCAGTTACATGCAATGAAAGGCAGCCTGGGCCTGGGCGCTTTCAACCGACTGGCGCTGCGCAACTGCCTGAAATTCATCAGTTGCGTGGTGACTCCAAAATGGCCTGTAGGGCCTCGGTCGTGCCTGCCTTCACTTAGGGCGGCCGGCAGTGTGAAAAATAGGCCCTGTAAGGCATATCGAGTCCCTATGCCTCGCAATTAGGTCATTCAGATAATATTGCAGATATCATTTTCTCAAAAAACAAAATTGCGATTTTGATTGAATTAGTTCGTGTTTTTTTTTCGTCTGTAGATCAGACTTATTTCCGCAAAATTTTGTTTTTGTGAATGGTTTTTGAACCGTTTTCTGAACGACAGATTAATTTGAAATTTCGCAATTTCCAGTTTCATCGTTGTCGCAAATTTATTTCTTGGGGTTTTCGAAAGTCTACGACTTCTTTCCTGATTTCTTCAACGAGTGAAATTCGTTTTTTTTCTGATTAACGAAAATATTTTTTTCATTTCTCTTTAAAAAATTCGAAATTTATCGTTAACTGCTCGTTATCTGATAAGATGCATCACTGATACCAAATCAACAGATTTCAAAAAAAAAAAAAAAAAGTGAGATCTTTTTCTTTTTCATTTTTTTCTGTTGATTAGTACCGGGATTGGAAATCGCAGTTCGGTCTTTTGCCTGCCTGCGTGTTTCCCACCCACCCCTCTTCGTACTATCCACATGCCATGTCAGCAGGTGTAATGTCAGTAGTGCCACGTCAGCAGTGCCACATCACCAGGTGCCACATCAGCAGTGCCACGTCGGCAGTGCCACGTCAGCAGTACCACGGCAGCAGACGCAGTACAGCTAACCGCGGCTTATGCTCTGCCGCAGCAGACACATTGCAGAACGCGAAGGGCGGGCACCCGCAGCAGATCAGCAGCTACCCCTCCCCCTCCCCTCTGCAATGGAGGCCCAAGGCAACCCCATGGAAAACAATGCCGCACCCGGCAGTCCACGGGAGGTGTGCATTGAGAACCCCCTGGTCCCACAGGCCCAGCAGGTGACTCCCACTGCGACACCTGCCGGAGCCCTCGACGCTGCGCCAGCCCGGCAACCAGGTGAGACAATGATGGCCTTCTTGGCCCGCCTGTCCACCTACGTGCAGCACGCACAAGAGGAACAGCAACGCGAAGCTGCAGATGAAGCTGCACGTCTCAACGCCATTGCACGCGACGCCGAGCAATGGCGCCGGCAGCAAGCCGAAGCAGCTGCCAATCATAACCAGCTTCGCAGAGATGCCGCATCCGTCCTCATGCAGCAAGAAGCGGCTCATACCGCAGCACTCCAAGAATGGACCTTTGTTCCAACGGAGACGCACACGGAACCGACCGCGGAGGAACGGACCAAGGCAGCACTCTCCAACCTCATGCATCAACTCCTCCTCACTTGCAACTGGCAACAAGTGGAGTTGACACGGCAGGCACGTATCATCAAACAATACGAGGAGACTCGTAAGAGTTTCCACTCCCGCCTTGAGGAATTGGAGAAGAACGCCGTGCCGCACAGGCACATGGCATCCTCCAGCACCGATCCATCGCTCCACGAACTCGAGGGACGTATGGATCATGTGGTGGCACTAATTGGCAATCTGAACAGCTTCCAACCGCCTGTGATCATCAGCCAACAAATGGCAGCAGTACAAGCTGACCTGCGTCAGCTGCAGCAGCAACCCACCGGGACCTGCAACAGCCTTATGCCAAGGCAGTACAAGATGCCAAAATTCAGCATCGAAAAGTTCGATGACTACCACAAGGCGGACCCCGTGACTTGGTGGCAGGGTTTCACCAATGAGCTTTCCATTCACAAAGTCCCGCCAGCATCGAAGGTCTCCGCTCTTTACCTTCGCAGCACCGGTGCCATCCAAGTGTGGCTCAACCACTTGGCGCAAACCGAAGGTGTCGAGGTCGCAGCCCTCCACACCAAGTTGACTTGGGAGGCTGTCACCGAGAAATGGCGGAAGCGCTTCATCGTCGACGACGCTCAAGGCAAAGGCGCGAACAGGCAAGGCACCCGACGATTGGCGTGACTCCATTCGAGTTGCACCACGGTGTCCAGAAAGGCCGTATCTTCGCTGATCTTCTATTCCCACGGACTGCCGACATTGACGCCGCTTGTTCTCCCGCCTCCGTTCAGAAATACCGGGATTTGCTGGCTCAAGCCCGTGCAAACATCCACAAAGCTCAAGTCCGCATGCAGCAGCAAGCCAATAGGCGTCGCGTGCCATGTCCCATCCGCGCTGGTGACCTTGTTTGGGTCTCCGCGGAAAATTTTGCGCTCGAACAGGATGTTTCGTGCAAGCTACTTCCCAAGTGGTTTGGCCCTTGGACCGTTCTTTCAGCCGCAGGCGACGAGCCCGATGACCCATCCTTTGTGATCGACATCCCACCGCATCTGCCGGTCCATCCAAGTCTTTCACGCCTCCAAGCTGGCAACTTACACACCAGCCAAGGACGATGACTTCGCGGCCCGACGATTGCAGGACCCTCCCTCTGTGGATGGTCATCAGGAAGTCGATCGCGTCGTCACACACCGCAAGTATGGCAACAAGCCGATGCAGTACAAGGTCGCCTTCAAGTGGTGCGACCGTGACGACACAAGGTGGATTTCACGAGCAGACTTGCAAGCCTACACACTGCTTATCTATGCCCACTACGAGCAACACCGACTAGCCAAGGAAGCTTCAAAGCCTGCCCCTCCCACCCGGACTTCGATCCCTCCCTCCTCTAGACAGTTTCACCCTCGCAGGTAAGCTCGGTCTTTCAAGGACCGGGGCCGTGGCCCAGCAGGGCCCGACCAGGTAGGCTAGGGGTTAGCAGAGGATAGGGTCTGTGTCGTTTCGGCCCACATTGGGGCCCATAGGGTCTGTAGGCCAGGATAGGCCTGAGTAGGACCGATGCGGTTTTGGGCCAGATAGGCCGTAGGGTCCGTTTTGGACCAGTACCAGTTAGAGGCCCTGTAGGCCTCGTTTAGGATACAGGCCCTGGTGTGCGTTTTGGCGCCAGACCCTGGAGGTTTAGAGGCCGCGCCGTTTCAGTTAGGCGTTTGGGTGTTGAGGCCCAGCCTCAGTTTGGGCGCCAGACTTTCGGACAGCAGCTGAGGCCGACCCAGCGTTATATATAGCTGGGTCCAGCCTCAGTCTAGGCATAGTAGAGGCATTGAGTGAGGCACTCTTCAGACAACATCAGTGTAGTAGTAGGCGACGATAGGAAGCGCTGGGCGCTGCTAGGATCTAGGTTAGCGCTGGGAGGAGAGAGGAGCAGTGGCGGAGGCCAGGGGACTTACCTTGGGACTTACCTGTGACGCCATTGCTCCAGCTTCGTCTTGAGCACGCCCGTACCTGCATCAAGGCGCCACCTTTCGCAGGTGAGTACCTGGTATAGAGAGGGAGAGAGATCTTCTTCTTCAGTCCATCTCCTTCTCACCCTCCAGCGCTCTGACTTCTCAGTATCACCGGACTACAAGAGAGAGAGAGAGAGAGAGAGAGAGAGAGA